GTTGTTCGGATTAAGTGAAGCTTGAATTAGCAGGCAGGCGCTAGAATGAACAGACAATGCGTCACACTGTTTATGTAGAACCAAGAGAAGCCACCTCTAAACTCTTTATAGCAGACTAGGTGCTACTACATGTTTGCGGCAGACGATTTCGTAAATCAAGTGCATGGAGCTCTAGTAGCAAACTTTTTGACCAGTCAGTGATGCGTCAGAAACAAGCACACTCATGCATTCATGTAAGCAGTGAGCCTTAATGAACAAGAACATGACGCTATTCGTGCCCCAAAACACATTTACATGGCAGAGTTGAAGCAATAAAAATTAAGAGCATTAAGTATTTTGCATATGACAGCGTTTCTTTTGCAACTCTATGAGTATAGTGGCTAGAAAGGTTTTCCTAGTGTCGTGAACGAGGCGGAAAAGCTGAAAGAGTTTATGATACAGCCTCCAGAGGGCACAACCACTCGCTGGTGCACGGCATTTACGCGTCATAGTCCGCGCTCTCAGGCATTTCTTGTTTAATACATGCTTTGTGCTAATGGTACAAAGACGCTGTGCTCGTCACACAGGGCGCCGATAAACTGTAAATGAAGGAAAAAGAAACTGATATTTAGAGTATACTGCCAGGTTATCTTCATCTGAACAGCACATACAAGCGGGATATACCGGGTGTTCAAAATTAAGCTTTATGATTTTTTTAAAATTAGGCGCTCGAAGGCACGTGAGAACCACTTGTGCAAATAAGTTAAGCGGCCAGGGGGACAGAAAGTTAGATGATAATTATCGCTGTCAGCAGCCCAATTAACTAAAATTTAATAATTAACTTTTTACTGGCTGCGGTAAGTTGGCATGTTTATATTGAAAAAATGTAGGCAGTGGTGTTTGTACACAGTTTCAGTTGGAAGATTTTTTCTAGCACGCCTGTGTTCCGAGATATCCGGCTCCAAAGTTTAATTGTCTTTCGCACGATTACGCATGCAAGAGGGTGAGGGTCCGCGCAAAGCTCCTCCCTAAAGTGACGCATCTGTTGCGTGTGGTGTTTAGTGTGTGAAGAGGGTGGAAGCGTAGGCATAGGTGATAGCAATTACCCTTGCCCTCTTCGGCCGTCGAAATCAAAAATCGAAGAACGCTTGCAACCAGTGTCGTAACACGCAACTGCAGAGCCTCTAACGATAGTGGCAGATACCATGCCGAGATAATGGTGCGAGCGGAGAATCTGGATGCCAGTGCGCGTGCGTAATAATCACTAGAGAAGCATGCGTGGTCGTTGCCTGGGCTACGCGAATAGCGTGACTGCTGATGTCCGAGTACTGTAACTTTTATTGAAACAAGAGCAACAACTCCACCAATAATAACTGAAACAGTTTTATCCTTGCTAACGCATATTTCCTGCTGCTACATAAGCATATTTCGGTCATGCACAAATCTCATCGAAACTCTTCACCTCTCAAGACGTCAATGCCCCAAAAAGTGTTCAAAATGCCTGCCTTCGGCAGCAACGCAAAGCATGAACCGCTGTCGCGTCGACTCGATGACTCGGCGCAGTACTTCTGCAGGAATACTCGCACAGGCAGATGTTATCCTGTCCTTCATGTCATTAACATCGCTGGGCTCTGTTACGTAAACTCGATCTTTAACGTAGCCCCAAAGGAAAAAGTCGAGCGGAGAAAGGTCAGGTGATCTTGGTGGCCAAAACATCGCTCCTGCGCGCCCAATCCACTGTTGTGGAAAACGTCTGTCCAACCAGTTCTTCGCCCTGGTAGAAAAATGTGGTGGTGCTCCATCGTGCTGAAACCATACTTGGCGCAGGTCATTCAGGGAAAGACTGCAGACAAGATCATCAATGACAACACCTAATATTTCTTCTGTGTACATCTTTCCGTTCAAGTTGTCCTCAAAAAAGTGAGGTCCGATGATCCTGTCCCCGAGTATGCCGCACCACACATTCACACTCCAGCGAACTTGATGCTTGTGCTGCCTCAGCCAGTGTGGGTTTTCTTGTGCCCAATAATGGGCGTTGTGAAGATTAACACTTCCATTTCGGCAAAACCGAGCTTCATCAGTCCAAATTATTCTGTGCAAAAAGTCATTTTCTTGATCAGTTTTGATGAGGCCCCAATTGCAGAAGTCAACTCGCCTTTCAAAGTCCGCCTCATTTAGGTCCTGATGAAGGTAAACGTGATATGGATGGAACTTGTGCTTTCTTAAAACATTTGTGACTGTTCCGATGCTGCGACCGCACTGATCGGCAATCTGTCGGATGCTGAGCTCTGGCATCGAGGTTACGCACGCGACAACGTCGATTTCAAAGTCTTCATCGACGATTGCCTTCCTGGTCCGTCTCGGAAGGTGGACAGAGCCTGTTGTGCAGAAGCGTCGAAACAGGTTTGTGAAAGTGGGCCTTGTTGGAAGGGGACGGTGTGGGTGGCGAGACGCGTAAAGCTCCATTGCTAACGAAGCGTTGCCATTCATTTCAGCCATTGCAAGCACCACGTCTACTTTTACTTTGGTAGAATACCTCACGCCAGAAGCAGCCATATTAGCTCGAAAGGACTCCACGTGGATTTCCTTGGTAGACCTTCAATGCAGAGACGCTGTGCTCTAACCGGAGGCACCCTAGTGCAGGACGGTCCTGCTAACGCGTTCACAAGAAGATGTCTCAGTGTGATCTAAAGTCACGAAAAAAACGTCGCGAAAAATGGTCTCCTGTTATCGCGTTCATCAGGATCATGCGTAAGGCTCATGGCGCACCGCGCTGTCACATTTTGATTTCGCCGGCCGAAGAGGGCAAGGGTAATTGCTATCACCTATGCCTACGCTTCCACCCTCTTCACACACTAAACACCACACGCAACAGATGCGTCACTTTAGGGAGGAGCTTTGCGCGGACCCTCACCCTCTTGCATGCGTAATCGTGCGAAAGACAATTAAACTTTGGAGCCGGATATCTCGGAACACAGGCGTGCTAGAAAAAATCTTCCAACTGAAACTGTGTACAAACACCACTGCCTACATTTTTTCAATATAAACATGCCAACTTACCGGAGCCAGTAAAAAGTTAATTATTAAATTTTAGTTAATTGGGCTGCTGACAGCGATAATTATCATCTAACTTTCTGTCCCCCTGGCCGCTTAACTTATTTGCACAAGTGGTTCTCACGTGCCTTCGAGCGCCTAATTTTAAAAAAATCATAAAGCTTAATTTTGAACACCCGGTATAGCACGCACGGGACGAAGATGGGGATTCGGGGAGTGAATAGAGAAAAAAAAAAGGACAAGTATATTTGAATGAAATAAACACTAAACCATGCATAATTATTAAAAATGAGCATCAGCAGACAATAAATTGAACTTCATGCACACATGAGGAATAAGTATTGAATATTAAGAAGCTGCAACAAACGAAATAGATGTACTTACATAAGCTTAGTAAAAAAAGAACAATATACAAAGCGAAGCAATAGCTGGATGCAAACTTCGATTCCTCAGTGCCCCTATTCGCAACGAGACTTTGCAAAAACAAAATAATAATTCCAACAGGACCCCTCGCCTCCCCCCCAGTGGTGGCGGCTGTCCCACTCCCCTCCCATGTATGATCTAAGCTTCACATACTGGTCTTCAAAGAACTTTTGTCACTGCTCTTTTCTGCGTCCGCAGAAGAGCACAATAAAGCAGGTGCACTTCCCAAATTAACAATTGGCACACACAACTCAGTTGAAAATTAAAAAAAAAGGTGCGAGCTGTTGATTGCCTGTGTACTTTTTTTTTCTTGTTGTTTTATCCGTCCAGCAGTTACTATGATCACTCCAGTCTTTGGCAGCTGAACCATCCACCTTGGAGGAGGGTGGAGGTCACGATGTAAGATGCATACCGTGGCGGAGGTTCATCGTAGCAGCTTCATTCCCTATTAATCTGATGTATAGGGAAGACTTAGTGCCCCCCCTGCCTAGTGAGGGCGGATGTCCCCTCCCCCTTCCACCTGCACACACCTAAGCAAATGACAGGCTGATTTTCAAGGAACTTTGTCGCAGCTGCTTTGTGCGTGCGTAGAGAGCACAATAAAGTGGGTATATTTGCTAAATTAACAGCAATTGGTACAGACAGCTCTAACAAATATGTGCATACTCTGTTGCATACTTTTTTTTAGTTGGCGTTTTATTGGTCTGGCAGTTACTTGTTGACAATTCCAGCCTTTGTCAGCTGAAACATCCACCTTGATGGGGGGGGGGGGAGGGGGGGAGAGGAAAGCAAAAATTGTGTGTACGCGGCAAAAATATGTCGAAGTCCTAGTTAGTGCATCTGTAAATGGCTATTCGAATAGTAAAATTATATTCATTTCCTTCTATCCCTACCGCAAAGATAATTAGCAATAATATCAACGATTAGAATAAGTGTTTCGGGAAGCAGTTTTGCGGCAAAGATGCAGTTTTACTGCCGCCAGCTGCATCCTGTCGTCAACCTCCACAGACACTCGCCAGCAACAAACAGCGCCGCGTCGCGGTGTATAGAATCCGGTTTCTCTGCCCCTACTTGGAAAGGAGCCCGTTCACGGCACTAGGCAAACCTTTCTAGCCACTATACTATGAGCATCATTTGCAGCTGACGCAAGAACTCCAGTGCAGTGTCCGAATTCTCATCTGTTGAGAAGTGCTACCATTTTATTGTTTGGCATCTACACTAAACATGGGTTGGTTTTGCAACACATTATGAATACTCTGGGCCGGCTTCTGCAAAGAGCGATGAAAACCAGAGTTCAAATTAGTCATCGTGGATACCCCTGCATTAAATTATCAAGATTTTGCCCCCTAGAAAATACACAGAACATTGCTTGGAGCAGAACATCAGTTCGAATTAACTGTAAGTTCAAAATAACAAAGTTTAATTAACAAAGTTTAATTACTGAGGCTTTACTGCACTACAGCTTGTTTTATATTGAAGAGGCAACACAAAAAGTGTGTTGCATTAGCCAAGAAAATGCACTGAATTAAAATAAATAACCTCACCGTTTGATGATGTGGTTGCTGTGTTGGAATAGCCTGCTGCTGACTGACCATGCTGGAGGATGGAGGTGGGGGCCCAGATCGCCCATAGCCAGACATACCATGGGCCCCCATGGGTGGTTGCACAGCTCCAGGCCCACCTGGGAGGCAACATACAAACCCACTCTAACTACTACACTGCACAGGAGAAACACTAAAAATACCGATTTAAACACTTTTCTCACCAGACAGTGCACATAAAACTTTTAAAAAAGTGCTGCAGTCTATCATGACAAATGAGGTGTTTCAAGAAAAACTGAGTGACATTTTCAAGGGGGCTCTTTTGCACATACTAATTGGCAGTTGCACAGACGATATCCTGCTAGTCAGTGGTGATGACCATACAATAACAGATAGTACATGGCAATTAATCCTCATTCCAAAAAATTATTTAACTTGTAGTTTAACAAATTTAATAGGCTAATCCTAATATGAATATTTAAATGAACTGTTTGTATAAGTACTATAGCCTTTTAGATCTGAAAAATGCAATTACCTGTGCAACTGCAACATGACTTGTTGGCCCCAGCTCACATAAAGCCTTTACTGCGCCCAGGGGTTCAATCGCGCAACAATTCTACTACTTCATTCAACGCTTTTCGCTGTCATTAGCAGTTTGCGTTTGGTCAAAGTGTGCCATTAGCCGTCTGCATAAGTCGAAGCGTCGCTTTGACCAATCGCAGATGGCTAATGGCGGCGAAAAGCGTAGAATGAGGGAATAGAATCGTTCTGAGATTGCACCCCAGGAGCGAATTTGCGCATGGTCATTGTCCTCAAGGTAACACTGCTACTCACATCACCAAATGACAGGCAGCCAGTGGCTGCACAAGCTGGCACGGCTGCAGAGTGGCGAGTGCACTCAGTTAAATGAATAAACAACAACACTGGCTAGAGAGATGGAGTTTTGCACGTGCTCTTGACCGCTGAATTTGTCATGCTACAAATCCAAAAGCTTAATATAAAATTTACCAAGGACCTAACTTTAGGCATACTTGTCATGACCCAAATAACCTGTACAACATTTAAAAATTGAAGCAAGGCCTGTGTAAATGCCATTCTTTTTGGTTCAATGTAAGTCGAAACAACTTTAAATACAGTAGACTCCTTTTAAAAGAAACCTGAAAGGACCAGGAAATAGGGTTTCATTTAGGAGGAGTTTCATTTACTAAAAATAAACAGGGGTATAATATTCAAGTACCAAACCACCCCATTTAAGAAGTGATTTCGTTTAAGAGAGTTTTGTCTACTGTAGAGTCTACTGTAGTAGCAGGATTTGACTTTTAGTAAATGCAAGTGACAACCTGTAAAATACATTGTTTTAAAATTTACTCTACTTAGAGCATATAAGCTGGTATAACAAGCTTTAAAACTTGAAAAATGATAAAACGATGCAAGAATAACAGGTTCATTAAACATTAATGTTAAACTTCACAGCAGTGCTTATTTTTTGTGTATATGTTTTCATGGCTTGCACCCCTTTGCTGCAGTAAAACCACCTTTACAAAAGACTTGCATGGAGATTAATATACACCTATTCGTTCATTTCGAATACATCTAAACTTTTAACAATTTAAATTTGTATCGAAGAAAATTCGAGTACAGTAATATTTTTTCAAATATTTGAAGCATTAGAATGTTTTCCCAAATTAGAAAACAAAAATACAACACGAGGTTGTATATCTAGAAGGCAATTTTTATTAAGCACACATGCCATCACCCGAGAACAAAGAGGGGAATGCAAACATTGCAATGAGGCTGTAAAGTCCCTTCGCATTCTTATTACGGTGCCCTTGGCAATCAGCCTTTTTGAAAAACACTATGCCCGCACGTTACAACCTGCGGATTGCACATCAAACATACTGGTGCACTGACAAGTGCTGCACAACGAGCTACATCAGTGCATTGGAATAACACCACCTTTTTGTCACCAGCATGCAAAAAAAGATTGGAACTTGTAAAAATGTGGCCAAAAACGGTCAATATTTGTTAGGAGAAATGCATTGTCTGGGCTTTGGTATGGCACATCCTTTGATATAGCGCATGTTTTGCTCTACTGGAGTTTGATATACAAGCGCACCAGCCCCATACTTTTGCATGGAAAATTTAAGGGGATTTCTCAGCTGCTTCATAGAGCCAATAATTCTACATATCCAAGTTCGATATACCTGGAATCAATTTATTATTAAACAGGTTCCACATAAAATCATTGAACACAAAAGACCACATTGTCATTGAACATAGAGTAAGATGAGCAACATATATATTTGAAATACCAGTACTTCCGATAGAAATCAGATAAAAGAGAAAGCTGAGCATCAAATTACAAAAGTAGCCACAATCACATTTAAGGGGGGCAGACTGGTCTTTGGTACCAAAAAGTGACAAAAAAATCATTTTTTAAAAATTGACATATTTGGCGTCTGTAAGTATTTTTCTATATCTACAAATTTTCACACACCAGGAAGTGGTAATTTTTTTGTAATGTCATTCTAACTGTCCAGATTCTTGGTACTGTTCACATGCAGAACCTGCAAAAAAATGCGGAATCCACTTCGAGGCTTCTTTATAATTTGCCGGCACCTGTGTTAGAAGCTCTGCAACGAATTTATGAGGACCTCTATGAGGATAGCAAAACATGCAAACCATAATTGTTTTTTGAAGAAGCTTGTGCGTTTTCAGTTTTTTTCAATTTTTCTCAAAAAATTTACGACTGTTCAATTTTGAGGCCTCAATATCTCTGCAACTAGGACAGGTACAACAATAATTCTTTTTGCAATGGAAACCTGTATGTGTGTAGAATGCAAGCATGGGAGCAGAATTCAGAGCACAAGCCTTTTTAATTATTACTCATCAAAACTGTAACAAGTCCAACTGCTTTTGACAATGAATAGTTTATTTTGCTGTAGGATAATCAAGAAAGGCCAAAAACAAAACTCTTGCATACTTTCAATCTATAATCATTACTCTATATTGGAATATCTTAAATATGACTTTTAATTATGCACTTTTTTTTTTATGGCAGCCTTAAACAATAGGAGGTGAACTTAAGTTATATATGGAAACAAGAGGAGTTACAGGAAAACTAATTAAATATTTGAAATCAGAAGAAAAGACTGCATAATCATGTGTAGTTTGATCAAAATCACTGAAATTCGTTTTTAAAAAATGTCTAAGACCAGTCTGCCCCCTTAACACTACCAAAGCAGCAGTTCATGATCAATAAGAGCTTAATTAGTTATTTTGCTCTTTCACCAAAATAGCCCGCATTGAGAATTTCAAAAATAATATAGGCTAATTCAGCTATACATCCTATGTTCCACGTGGCATAAATGAGGCCAAAGCTGATGAAAAGCTATAAATGTAATCATTTACACATCAGTCATCAATGCAGCAGTTTGTAATCAGTACAGTGCCTGCTCACACATATTTCACCAAAATAGTTTGCTTGTCAGGTACCAATATATTGCCACGTTCCTTCCTCGAGTTTTTTTATCACCCCGTTATGCTGTACGCAATTCTCAGCACAAATCGCGCCTACAGTGTTCGAGAAGTTTCAGGACTGCAGTAGATCATTTTGTTGAGATTACGCCCACTTCGCGAGCATTTCAGATTATTCTGAAACCTACGTCATCACTAGCGTTAATGCTAGAATGTTCGATGGCAAGTGCATAAATGCCCGCATGCTTCGCTGCTTGTCAGTTGATCAACGGCCGACACTCAATTTGCCAATATCACTGCCAGTATCTTGCTGTAATCTCAATTTTCTTTTATGTGGCCACAAGTTCAGCTGAATAAGCAACTTAATCTTCGACCTACTGTCTGCTGCCTTCATCGTTGTCACGACCCCATGACAATATAAATAAGATACATATAGACAATGACAACATGTACCAGTGTCAATATGCTACTATACAACTACTAATATACAAGCTGCACACTATATGATAGCATACAACTTGTTTTTGTTTAAGCTCACTGGATGTTCACTTGGTTGAAGTTCACCGTTATCAATTTCCCAGTGCCATTTTGATGCAGGTTAAGAACAGTTACTAGTAACAAATACAGTAAAGCTTCATTAATTTGAACTCAGTTATTTTGAAAACCTGCTTAATTTGAAAGATTTTCACGGTCCCGTATTTTGCAATACAAGTTTGAGTGGATAATTTGAAGCGGTGGCCAGCACCAGTCCGGTAAATAGAAAAACTTTGGGTGCCATGTGCCAGTTCCAGATCCCAATTTCGCCGCAAAACGACGGCTATTAATTGCCACAGGCAATGCGACGTATCAATACTAACGAGTGGCAGCTGAAGCACCCCAGCCTCGCTACTTCTAGCACAAAGAAAAAAAAAAATGGTCTCGTGGTCAACCGAAACATGCGCCTGCGGAAAACAAGCTGTGCTTCACTGCAAAACAGCGGTGACACGCGGGCAGCTTATTGCATGTTTCTCGCAACGTCAGCGGGTTATGGTTTACCCATTCTTTCTGGGATTGTAAAGAAATGAATAAACGACGGTTTAGCGGAAATCGTGATGTACGTGAACCTCCGATTGCCAGTTGCTCCAGCAATTTGTGTCTCTGCACAGCTGGCGGAGTTCTTACCAGCAACATCTACTTCGAAAACTAAGTTGGAAAGTTTCAACGATAATTTTTTCCAGCCAAAACATATCGTGAGCTTCGTAATTCTGGCCATTATAAAATTCATAATTATAATAGAATGTGTTAATGGTCGCATCATGATGTGCTGACGAAGCGAGAAGCAGGCGACATGCTGCCCGCATGTCAGTATTGTGTTGCAGTGAAGATGTCTTTTCTGCAGGCGCACATTTCAGTCAATCGCATCCGCACTTTTTTTTTTTGGTGGCAGCAGCGAGGCCCACTGTTCTTCCATTTTCACGGCAAAATAAAGACCAGGTATTGCTGGAAAACATGACCTTTGAAACCGCAAGGTAGCCGGCACAGCAAACGACGAGCACTGATTACTTTGAATAGTTCAAGTTCCTTGCATCCCACTTCTTGTATGTTCTGTTAATTCGAAAGCCCACTTAATTCGAGGCTTTCTCGCGGCTTCAGTGACTTTTAATTAACATTGTTCTACTGTAAT